ATTTAAAACAATACAATCTTTTAAAAATAATATTATAATATTATAAATGTATTATAAATCAACATTGTGGAAATAATGTAACTTTTCCCTAAGTAACAGCGTCTACAAAGGGTGAGGCCACAAAGATAAATCAAACTTAAAAGGGAGCCACGGGCAAAAAAAGGTTGAGAAACACTGGACAATCATCAAGTGTTTTTATATTTTTATATTTGACGAGCGCTAACTCGAAACGTAATCCTCTTCAAATATAAGTATGTATAAAAAACTTGGCGATTATTTAACATATTCTTTAATTTTCATTAATTAATAAGGTTTTTAGAAATAGATATACCAGGGGTAATATATCGCACCAATTTAAGTATCTTAGATAGACGGAAAATATATATGTATATTTATACAAGGGCCTCCCAGTGTTACAGCGGTATGTCTGCAGACTTACAACGCTAGAAACCGGGTTTCGATACCCGTGGTGGGCAGAGCACAGATAGCCCTTTGTGTAGCTTTGTGCTTAACTACAAACAATTTATACAAGGGAATGGAAAGAAACTCGCGATAGTACCTATTTCTTGACATGTATTTTGATTTTATACCTTTTAAAGCCTCTTCGAGGCTCAGAAAGCGATAGTACTATTCTTTTTACTTTTTTATATATATTTTTTATAACCTCAACCGATTATTATCGTACAGTAAGTTCACAAAAACAAAGCAAAAACCTGTAAAAACGGGATTGAGATGGCTAAAATACATCCAATCAAATGCCGTACTTATCAGTGAAATGTATCATGTAACAACCAAGTTATCCAATCACATTTGAGCTTTAGAAACCCAATAACAGAAAACATTACAGTCCCGTCTAGCCAATCACATGATGGATATTATCTATCGATGTACCCATCCTCCTTTTCGAGAAAGCGTTAGATCGTTTTGTTCAAATTGTTGATTATTTGAATATATTGAAGTTTGACGGTAAACTTTCAAATTGGTAGGCATAAGTCGCAAAACGTGCTAGGAAATTGTAAACAGTAAAGTGTAAGTAACTTAGAAAAATGAAAAGACATAGTTAAACCTAAAGTCTTAAGCAATATTCTTTAAGTTCAACGTGTCTGAATATAACTATTAATAACTTAAAAGTTAAATAAGACATTTAATGATTTAATTTCACTTTTGGAATTGTTGGAAGTTGGAGAAAGTTATGTAAATACAACGTGTTTATATCATTATTTGTTAATTAGTATTACCATTAATATTATCAGTACTGTGTTAATGTCAGTATTACGCTACATATTATTCATGAGTTACTAAGTAATAAGTTCTAATGTCAAGGTAAAAGTTTGATTAATGTCATGTTCAACACGTTTAATTTTAAGTTAGTTAAATTACTTAAAGTTAAAACACAAGAGCTCGCACTTGCAGTTAAAACTAACGTGGATAAAACGATAGGAACATTAGGTGAATTCTGATTTTCTTTAATTTTAACAACAGTCTCAGTATCTCTTAACTACTAAGTTTAGTTCTTTTCTTTATACTTATAGTTTACGCTTACAATAGTTACATTTACAAGTTAACTGTTACGCCATCAAAACGTTTCTCAGTTTCTGGCGGCCCCATCAATATCTCTCACTTGGTCACCATCACTGTATCAGCTTTGGATAATAATGAAAATTAAACATCTATAAGTATTTATTGTTGAGGAGTTACTTTTATAGTGAATTTTAATGTGTATAGAACTAGCCACATACATTGATACAGATAATTTTGCATTTGCTACAATGATTATTTGTTATTACTATTACTAAGCTGTATCAGTTATACAAGGCCAAGACATGATTGTCATAGTTACCACCAACAATAATACATTAGGGCAGGTCTGGACAAATATTTTCAGATCTAGGAGCCTGGTGTGCCTAACCTAACTTCATTACTGTTTGTAAATGTAATTTCAGTTGACCAGGAAATGTTCTATTAGCTTCATAAAGTTTGATTAGCAATGATTGCTTTTAGCACTAGAGAAGAACTAGGGTTATTCATGAGGTCAGACATCTGGGACCTCTGCCCTTCCACAATGCAATGTCCGCACTGCAATCAAGGCAAAGGGGCAAACAAATAATGCGAAGAAGGGGAAATTTTGTTCAGTATGTACACTTTCCCTCTGTCTAGACTCATATTTGTAACAAACTTTTGTTCCAATCCTGCAAATATGGTGAGGAGTTGTTGCATATTCAATTGCACCAATAACAAGTCGAAGAGACATGAACATTCCTTCTATTTGATACTCAGTCAAGCTACTGAAAAGGAGAGAAGAGCATTGTGGCTGAAAGCTATAAACTACAGAACACAGAAAGCTGTGGGAGCCAAAGTCTGACTATAATTGTGTATTAGTGCTCATTTTATATTATATAAATGTTGTCTTGCTATTTTTTTCAACACAAGGTAATTGTAGATGTCTGGGTACTGTACACTATCCATTCTGTTGGGTTGTTGATCCATGAGTCGGCAGGATGCTGGTACAGACAAGAATCAAGCATATTTAACTGTAACTCGTTATCTTCCAAATGCTTTGGCCACAGCTTCTCCATGTATTGATGAGACATTGCAATTGATAATATGACTATCAAACAATAATATATGAATGGTAATTAAAGAATTTGCACAGCATTAACACATGTATATGGTAGACCTATATTAGTTGTGTACATGCTACTGTTTGCCCCTTTGACAAGATGGCGATCGTTTTACTAGACAAAATCACAACTTTAATGTCATGCTATCCTCAAGAATTGTTTAGTTCTGCTTAGCCTTTCCAGTAGTGGTTTTGAATGGACTACTACTACTAAAAAAAAGAAAAATCTTCTATTAAATGAAATCAAAATCAGTCATGGCAATCAGAAATTACATAGATGTTGCTATAACAGAATTTTTGGAGCACTTTTAACCAACCAAATTCTTTATGCTGTGTGTGAGAAGCAGAGCACAATAAAAGTGGATTGCTTGGGAGTTGAGTGAAAGTCATACAAAAACTTGCAATTTGTAAATAAGGTATACTAGTCTTACCTGTAGCAGACATTATGTTCATAAGTGGCTTTTAATCAGCTTTTGTTACTTATTGTTTTGACAAAGGTTTTAAGCAAATCAACCAAAGTTCTTTTAGTGTTGGGTCAAAATGTACAGTTGTTGTTTTCCAAAGGTCCTTCAAATACAACTATCATGTTTATGGTGGATAGTTGAAAATATATATATCCATTGTTAAAGTATGATGCAGAAAAATTGAATTTTTATGGAAGCCATGCATGAGACTTAGAGCCAATTAATATTACCTTTTTATCAAAGCAAGCTAACTACTTAGACTAGAACTGAAAATATATATACCTGGTAATGAATATATTAAATGAAGTACAATTTTCAAACTATATGATATATAGTGATTAGAATACATTATGTCATCATATGCACTCTTATTGTTAATGGTATTTTTGGGCATAGATTGAATATCAAGGTTTGGTCAGCATGGAGGGCTTAGGTTAATCCTAAATCCATCTACTAAGCTAATAGTGCAGAATAATCATTATAATAAAATAAAAGTATATATATATATATATATTTAATATTCTAGCCATCATTGTGATAAAATGTTTTGTATGATCCAAGAATCATTTTAAGAACTCATCTTTGTACTCTGTGGATATGCTTGTATCTTTCATATAATGAGGGAACAGAATACAATACAGTGAGGGAGAGAGATATCTTTTTTTTTCAAAAATGTTGCTTGTTTTATAGATGAAGGTATGAACATGTGTACTTGCATTTTCAAGAAGCTTTTAACTCAACTGATTCATCAAGTGGAAAATGAAGTTTTATAATAAATATTAAAATCATGGTAATACCAAAAAACATTTTTAATACAGAATTTCCTTAAATTCCATCATCAGCATTAATATATAAAAAAAAATCAGTTCATAATATTCGAACTACAAAAACAACATTAACATTAAGCGAGTTTTCATATTCAATCGGAAGTCTAGAAAGAACAGATTTAAATGGTAACAATATAATGGAATGTATGATAAAACGTGCGGCATATATGTTTAATAAATAACCAAAACATGTTACCCACAAATTAAGCTACGTTTAGTATTTATGTCAACATTTAGAATTAAAAATATGTTTTAAACCAAAGACACTACCCATTCCTATCTGCCTGTGGGTCATATATAAATACACTTGTGGTAGCTGTAAAGCTACCTATATTGGTAAAACTACGCATCACCTACAAATATGTGCACATGAACATGTGGGAATTTCAGCAAGAAGCAGATGTAAACTAAGTAATCCATCCGAGTCTTGTATCTGATTGCACAATGATAATAACAACCAACCCCTATGAAAATCTTAAAAATTCTCAACTCCAGAACCACAGATTACAAACTCTTTATTAAAGAAAGCCTCTCCATTTTCAATGATCGCCCAACACTAAATAATAACATCAACTCCTCCCTGTTGTCATTAATGTAATCAATTCCAGATTCTCGATGTTTTTATTTGATATTTATTATTATTTTAAAGATGTAATGTTTATACTTACATTTAAGCCTTTCTCTATAATAGTTTCTCTTAACAGTGTTATTTATTAAACATGTATACTGCACGTTTTATAGTATATTCCATTATATTGTTACAGTTTAAATCTGTTCTTTTTAAACTTCCGATTGAATACAAAAACTCGCTCATTGCTAATTTTGTTTTTGTAGTTCGATTATTATGAACTAATTTTTTTTAGAAACCATTTGAAGTCATACTTCCACACATTAAAAATATGCATGTGTCAGAGTAGAAATTTACTCAACATAAGTTTATTTATTGAATTTTGTACATTAATAAAATTGCAAATTTTGATTTTACATTGATTTCACCATGCTTGAGATGAAGTCACTAGTGTTTGTGAATTTCCTGAGTTTGTTTTTGAGAATAGTATTGCACACTAGCCAACTAGGAAGAAAATTATGATAGTTTTAAACAAAGTAGTGCTAATATAATCTTGTAACTTGGATACAGATAATTTTTATATATTTTTAGTCACAAACTGTTTTTCAACCTCGGCTCTCATGGTGTTGTGTATTTGCCTATATCTTAGCTTTGAAATGTCATAGGCTAGTGATCTAATGAGGTTAGAAAAGCTCTTTCTGTTATTTAAAACTGTATAAGCTAGTATGGCTTCCATTTCAGTGGAAATTTATATGTAGATTAGAACACAGTGATAAAGGCTTAGGATGGTGATGTTTGTGGACAATTTCCACTACAATTAAAGTCCTGATTTAATATTTGTGAAAAGCTTACTTTATAAGTTTTATTTTCATTTGAATTATAATGTTGCAGTATGATAGGAAATTTTTCAGTGAACTAGATGTGGTAGGCTTAGGTAAATCATTTTGTATTCAACCATACTGTTTTGTTTCACTAGCAAGGCTTTAAAGGTTTAAGTAACTGTATGGCTGGGCAAAGAAAATTACCAAAAACAAATACATATACAAGTGGATATAAAGCCAGTTTAAAACATTGTTTTTGTATTTTAATTTTTGTTCATTCTAGAATGAAAGAGGCATAATTTAAGTTCATTTCCTAATTTTTATATGGTAGTTGTGAGATTGGTCAAATCTACTGAACCCATACAAAGCTTAATCACTGAAAATAACAGATAAAATATAAATTTTTTCTTAAGAAATGTTTTATAACTATCTAGACATTATAAAGATATTGTATGTGAAATTAGAAAATTTTCTGATCCATAAAAGTATTTTTAATCTTAAAAGGAAAATTACTTTGCATGATAGATAGGCAAGATGTGAAAAGAAAAAAGTCACGAGGGAAACATTGCTTTACCAACCTTAAGATTTAATAAAAAAATATGATATTTTATGTATGAAAGCATTGTAATGTTTACTGATAAACTGAAAATTTTTTTTAACATTCACTTACTAATTGAAAAGTTATAGCATGAAAACTATAACAAGCACAAAATGGTTACGAGGTCGGACTCAGGGATTGAGCCCGGGTTGAAAGAGTTAATCAAATCTCCATCGGTCCAGGAAGAAATGGTCCAAATAAACAAACCTCAGTGTAGGTCTAGATCTGATGTTAGCCACAAAATTAACGTTAGTGCATCTAAGTCTGAGATTAGGCTCACTGCCAGGCCCAGCAGCGCTAGGTCTAAGCTTACAGATCTATCAGATTTAGAGACAAGCTGCCAAAGAAAACAGTGAGTTGCATATTGCATTGAAATGTTGCAGAAGTGTTACTGAAATATATATTTGTTTCTTTAGTGATTTGATACACAATGGCACGTACCAAGCAAACAGCTAGAAAGTCAACCGGAGGAAAGGCTCCTCGTAAGCAGCTGGCAACAAAGGCAGCTCGTAAAAGTGCTCCTTCTACAGGTGGAGTGAAAAAACCTCATCGTTACAGACCTGGAACAGTAGCCCTAAGAGAAATCAGACGTTACCAGAAGTCTACTGAGTTGCTGATAAGGAAATTACCATTTCAGCGTTTAGTGAGAGAAATAGCACAGGATTTCAAAACTGATCTCAGATTCCAAAGTGCAGCTATTGGAGCACTACAGGTTGAGGGTCTAGTTATTATTATAAAGACATAATGTGGATATTAAACTAAAATTCTCTTCATTTAGAAATATTTCATACCTCAGTTTTTGTAGTAGCATAATATTTGAATTCAAACTCTGATCAGATTACAGTACCTAACTTAAGTCACTTTTTCTATTAATTTACTATCGTTATAGTGCTTCTTCCTTGCTTTCATTATTTAGTAAAACTTAGTCTGGTTGATTAACATAAAAAACTGGTGTAACTTTTAAACTTGATTTCAGGTTAACATCATAAAATGTGTAGATTTATGATAACATAGTATTGTAGCTAATTTTTCATATATTTTTGTTGGTAAAATCCAATTTTCAGAATATAATTTTCTTTCATATTGTTGGCTAATTGCACAGGCATACCTTTAGCACAAGAACTTTTATAAACACTTCTGAATTTTTGTGTACAACAGATTGTATTGTTTACTAAAAGCTTGGTAGGTTTCATGAAGAATCACATATAAAATTGGAATTATAGTCAATCTTGAACTGACCCTATGTGTGTTCAGGTAATCAGTTACATTCCAGTAATTAATTAGTACAGTGCTACCAGCCGGTTGCCTTTTATCTAATCAGCAGTTTAAAATTAGTAACATTGACAAACAGGATTAGTAACTTTGCCATAACAAACACAGTGCGCAAGGTTGGTGGCAATGGAAATTGCCCACCACCCTTGAATCACAAGACTCCCACATCACAAAAGCTGAAGAAACTTGAAGTAAAGAAAAAAACTTATAAGGCTAAGATTTGCAGAGCACATATAGCCTATTATGTAGCTTTGTGTTTACAACAAACATAGTAGCAATATTTTAATTAGTTGTTGTTGTTGTTTTGTTTTTGTTTTTCTTTCTCATGACAGTCAATTTAGGTGTAATTTGGTTCATTGACTATTGGAATAATCAGAAACACTAAATTTTGATTACTCAATCAAATTGCCCAGCTCTACATACTATTGAATTTAAAATTCAAAGCAATCTTCGAAATTAGAACATCAAGCCTTTTGGAAAAAATTTTGCTGTAAGAACATTGATCAAGCCAACACCACATCAAATGCCATCATCCATTCTGAAGAGATTCTTCCACTTAATAAACAAGCGAGATATAAGACATGCACCCCTCCCCCCAATAGATCTGTATTTTGTTGTTTTTTATATTCATTTTTGCTTTATTAGTAGTGTTGTGTGCGTGGTGATTCAGAAACACATTGGCAGGAAAATAATTGTTATTGCTATGTAATGAGGTGATGTGGACCTAACCTGTGATAATAGCATTGAGTTAATTCAAGATCATGTCATAGGTGTATTGTATGGGAAATGAAAGATTTTAAATAAAAGTTACAAAACTAATCAAGAATATGTATTAAATGAACCCATTTCCACATGTACTGAGTTGAGCCACAGAATATTGGATTTGACCATAATAAAGCTTGTTACATAAACCTTGGTGTGAGGTGCAAGGTTAGAATTTTGCATAAGTTGGTCATTGCATGCTTGAAGAGTTAGAGGGTATTAAAGTAAAAGCCCCATATGTAAGGTAGTTCACAAGTATTGTGCTGCAGCCTCTTGCAGATCATCTCAATAATGGGATAGTACTACTACTGTATGGAGTGTCACCAGAATTCCTCAGTTGTTGCCAGATTGTATACTAAATGATTCACAAATAAACATCATCTTTCATATCAGATGGTTGGAAATGTGTGTCAACAGTTGTGAACTACATGCACCAATGGCTTTGAGGTAAAAATAGCAGCTAATCAAGGTTGTCTTCTGTCACTTTTCCTGTTTCTGCTAATGATTGACTGGGTCATGAAGAGAACCACTGAGAGTATAAAATAATATTGTCAAGTTGAAATAACTAAAGACCTAGATTTTATTGAACTGGCTCTCCTATCACAAGCCACAACCAAATGCTGGAGAAAATTTCTTGGTTGAAATCTATATCAGCTGAAATTGGACCAATCATTCATTAATGCAAAACAAAGACTTTAAAATTTTACAACACACACCAAGATTCATATTCATCTCAAATGTCAAATCAGTATTCCTGTATGGTTCAAAAATGTGTAGAAAGACAATAGTGAAGAAGATCCAGACATTAATCACTAGGTTCTTCATATTTGGTGGCCAGAAAGAGTCGGTAACATTGAATTATGGAAAACAGCCAAGCAACACCATGTCAAGAAAGAAATACTGAGAGTAAAGTGGGGTTGGATTGGTCAAAACTTATAAAATCCAACATCCCAGACACTCTAACTTGGAATACACAAGAAAACAAGGGGAGAAAGGAATACCTGAAGGTTTGACCACCAGGTCGACACAAAGGAGACTGGTTACACATGGAGAGAACTGAAGAGGATGATAGCCCATTGTTGAACATGCTGGTGAGGGGTTGTTGTGGCTTATGCTCTAATGAGCTTAAGTAATTAAGTAAGGTTACATACTATAAGCTCATTTACACAGACACTGTGTGGGATACTAAGAACAGCAACAAGTAGTGACATCGAAGCTGCACTTTTAACATTTGGGTAGAAATCTGAACCCCGCTGTTGATTGTATGCCACCAGTTTATAATAATGTTAAGATGATTTCCTGATCTGCTTTTATGCTGCTGCCTGTAGTTGTGGTGAGTCAGTTTTGTGATTTTTGGTTTAATGTTTCATTTGATATTTTATTTGAAGTTTATCTTAACCTCAGTGATACTGATGCAGGGTAGTTCTACAGTAACCCATTCCATAGCACTGAGAATTGTTTACCTGTAAAATCTCTGTTTCTGAATTTATTATATGTCAGTAGACTTCTGAATCACCCAATACATGTATATCTTTTTCTGACATTCCCTACTCTGTAAAGATGTAATAAAGGAGAGCATGGTTGTTACAAACTTTTGTTTATTTAATAAATTAATTGTTATTTTTTAAATTACAGGAAGCTAGTGAAGCCTATCTGGTAGGCCTCTTTGAGGACACAAACTTGTGTGCCATCCATGCAAAACGAGTAACCATCATGCCCAAAGATATTCAGTTGGCAAGACGAATTCGTGGAGAACGTGCATAAATACTCAGTTGTTTCCAATATTGTACAAGCACATATGACTTTCATCATCGTAGTTTAATCACAATTCCATGACCTGTCTTTTTTACACAAAAAGAAAGTGATATCGAAAAAACCAAATCATTTTGTAATATGCAGATTTGTAAATTATTTTACTGCTCAAACAGTTAAGGTGTCAGTCTGGGGATCATTTTGTTGAGTTTTTTGTGACATTTACTCCACTGAATAATGTGGTCTCACGACTGAGGTTATGTGTATTTTAGTCTTCCCTGTATAGAAGTTGTATTATGTCCAGTAAGAGAAAAATTAAGCTTGGAAGCTTCTTTGTCATTCATTTTTGTTTATAATTTGTGGCATGTGTTCAATATGCCAGTCTTGCACAAGTTGAAACCTTGTAGAGTTCAAAATATTGAAATTAGGTGAAGCAGACTAGTTCACTGCCAGAAACAAATGTGCAACCCTCCATATACATCTCTTATTAAATGAAAGGTAAGAAAATATAAGGCAGTCAGTTTTATGTAAAATGTTTTTATTAACCCAATAAATGTTGATAAACCTTCTTTTGGTGTCTTGTTTTTGTCATAGTTAAAAATAAATTGGACCACCAAGAACAGTATTAATAAACTACATAATTTTCTGTAATAATAATATTTTACCCTACAAAATTCTTCATGTGGTGGATTATATTATTGACTTTCTGAAATGTAAAATTTATGTACAAGTGAAAATAAATATGCCCAGGTAAAAATACACACATTTAAATACAACATAAAGCAAATGACTAAATTTTTTGTTCTTTTGTGTTGTTGATATGTAAAATGTAATTTTCGTTTTTCTACTATTTTTAATAAAAATTCATTATTTAGTGTAGTTATTTGCACTCAGACTGAATACTTCACCTGCAAGCTGATTTTCATTTTGAAAATAAAAATACTATTTATTATCGTAGAATTTTTACATTTCACTTGCATACTGTCTAGAATCTCTTAAATGAATATCAAAAGTTTTTTAAGGTAAATATTGATATTTTATTTTCCATTTTCCCTACCATATCATTAACTTATTATCATCAACATACAGTGCAATGAAATGCTTAAAAGTAAGAAATAGAAATATGTACATACCTTTTAACTCTTTGTTGAATAATCTTAAAATATCTTCTTTGAATCATAAGCATACTTTCATGCCTTTAATATTTCACTTATAGTTTTATTTGGCTTTCCTATTCTTTAACGTTGATTATTTATGTTGACACATGTCAACGGGTACCCATGGGAATAGAATGGTATGAACAGAAGAGATACCTTATTCTTTGGCAAAATCTTTTTATACACGCTTGTTAATGTAAGCCTTGCAGAGCGAGGAAAGTTTTGGTTATTTTATAAAAAATCATTAAACCTCTCAAATATGAATTTTAAAACACAAATAATGCATAATTAACTACAATATAAAAGTAAAACCTAAATACAGTTTAACTGTATCTCTAACTATAACATATTATGGTAAGAAACAACTGAAGTGCTGTGTTTTGTGTCATGTGACACACGAGCTATAAATAATGTTGAAATTTGGTGAAGTAGTTTGAAGCAAAAGGAGTTAGTCATATACATGTAAGTCTAGACAAGAATGTAGTTTACTTGCCCTTTACCACTTTACTATCAATCTATTTTAATGAAATTATCATATACTTTATAGTTCAAAGATATATATTATCTTAGTTTTTATTTCAAAAGAAACATTGAATGCAATAATTAAATCTCTCGGTTTTGTGTCATGTGACACACGAGCTATAAATAATGTTGAAATTTGGTGAAGTAGTTTGAAGCAAAAGGAGTTAGTCATATACATGCAAGTCTAGACAAGAATGTAGTTTACTTGCCCTTTTGACACGTATGTTTCAGAATACTTTGGCTTAATGCAGTTGAAGCAAGAAATAAATTTTGTCAACCCCTCACAGGTGCCATGCCTACTTCTATAGTTAACATTAAGCTTTAAAAGTTACACGTATTTTCAACATGTATGTGTTAATAGATGTTAGAAAAGGCTCATCACTATAATCCAACAATGGTTATTTTGAAATTGGCTGCTTTGTTCACGGGAGAGATTTAATTATTGCATTCAATGTTTCTTTTGAAATAAAAACTAAGATAATATATATCTTTGAACTATAAAGTATATGATAATTTCATTAAAATACATTGATAGTAAAGTGGTTTAATTAAATTTTAAATGTAACTCAGTGACATGCAGCAAGGAGTTTAAAAAGTGCATCATTGTTAAAGGGTTAATAAATTACATAATTTTCTGTATTATATTTAAACCTACAAAATTCATAATGTGGTGGGTTATATTATTGACTTCCTTAAATGTAAAATTTGTGTACAAGTGAAAATAAATAACATGCCTAGGTAAAAATACACATTTATCAGGAAGGAAACCATTGTTTTAAGTAAATGGAATATAAAGCAGAAGACTGGATTTGTGTTCTTATATATTGTGAAAATATGGAACTTGTGAGATTATGTAACTTGCAGTTACTCAACTTCATTATTATTTTGCTACGAATAAATGTGTTGTGTATTTTGTTATGTATAGTAATTTTTTCTGAAGAACTATGGTGATATAATAATGTATAGGTACAGCAGAATGTACTAAAATTTTCAACACTGAATAATGCAATATCACTGGCTAAACCAACAAAAACGTTTAGAAACATAAATTATAAATTGATTCAAAATCTAAAAGAACAGTAGAAATATTTCAAGACTCAGATTTGCTTAGGAAAACAAAACTTTGGCAATGCATAATATACTGTCATGTGAAATTATAACTGCTTTATTTTTGTGCTTGAGAATTTCTCACCCAAGTCTGAAGTGGTCATGTTTACTGGTGATTATAAAGGGTTATGGTAATTTTATTCAATGAAGAAAAAAAAAGAAATATTTTGAAAATTACTGAGACTATTATGATTATCAGGAAAAAATGGCATTCAGGTCTTGTGTCCATGAAGACGTGGCTTTTGAAACATGCAGTAGCTTTAAAATATTTTCAAATCTATAAATGCAATAAATTATTGGATATAATTAAAGAAAGTGTTAAACTGTGAGTGGACAAAACAGTTATTTTTTCTCTAAAAGTAGTTGTGAGAAACATAAAAAAAATTACCGAGTAAATGTTTTGTTTCACAAAGAAATGTCATGTAAGATTCAGTTTAAGTGAAAGAAATGTGTTTGCCCATTTTCATGCTTCAATTTTTATTACATTATTTTAATAGAGAGAGAAATGTTTAATGGTTATTTTCAACTTACATTTTATGAACTTTATTATATAATTTTTAGTTTTGTTCCATATATCCCTAAGAAGGTATGTAAAACATCAATCTTTAGATAAGTATTAATTGGGAAATCATAAATGATCATGTTTTGCAGATAGCACAACTTAATGTGTTTCTTGAAGTTTTTAACTTGTTAATTAATAAAAATGAGTTGTTGCAATACATCAATTACAATAAAAAGCAGAGATCTATTATCTGTCTCTCTTTTTTTTATCGATTTATCTGATTACAATACTTTGTCCTAATAATATTCATAGTTTCATAGAAATGTTTATTGGATAGAAGATGGAAACCTAATTTAATGTAATAGATAATGAACATATGAGATTTTTAAAGATTGTAAAAAATTAATCAGTCAGTTGTACTATTCATAAACTTGTATGACTGTAAATGATAATATGTTGTAACTATGAATGATAAATATTCTCATAAAATTGTTATTTCTTGCATTATTGGAACATATTAAAAAATAAAACACTACATTTTTTTTTAAATTCCCTGTAAATGAAATACAAATTAAAATTTCTAGCTTAAAAATGTATATAAAATGTCAGTAAGAAAGTGCTAAGGCAATAACATTTTGAAATATGTCAGAGCTTTCTTTCCAAATATAATGTATGCATGTTGTATTTTTAGCTTTTGCAGTGGAAACAAAACTAGTTTATATTGAATAAGAAGAATACAAAATATTTAGCTAGTCTGAATGTTTGTGGGGAAAAAAATCAAATGATGATGTAACTGAAGCTGATAGATGTTTGAACTTTGCCTGAAAAATATGATAAAAGGATTTCAAATCTTATTCTAGCAGTTTTCTGAAACAGGTAGAGAAGTTATTATAGAAAATTATTGTCCTGACCATTCTGTAAATCTTAACACTCATTTTCTGTGGAAGTATAAATGTAGAAGTCATGTTATTTAGACAAAAGCAATTTCTTGGGGAAATGACTTGTTTTTCACAAAGTAAAGTGACATCAACCAGAATAAATATCCTGCATTGCAATTTCTGCTGTTTGTATGAAAAATGCTTCATAACAAAAAATACCTTTATCAATTGGTTTTCTAATTAAGATGTTTTGTATTTATAAACCAGTGATGATCACTGTTAGTTGAAGAAAAAGACAATATATTTGTTTAATTATATTAGATGGTGAACTTGTATATAGTGTTCTATTTCATCATATTCAGTAAAGTGAGATGAGGTTTAAAATACTGAGTGAAAAGCTGAGAAAAATATTTTTTATTTAAGTAATATTGGAAATGCTTGAAGATACACACTTGCAGTTTTATATGCCTTTTTGGGGGGAGGGAATTGCTGACTGTTACATAGTTGAAGGAGAATGTGGTATTCAAAAAGTTCCTGGGGGTGCAGAATGCATTATCTGATAAGAGTATGACATTCAGCATTAATTTGTATGTCATTAAACCTTTTGCTAGAAGCCAAATTGATCAGACCATCTGAGTCGCAAGGTATTGGATCCATACACTTTGTTATTATTATTGGAAATCCATGTTGGGCCAAGTAAGTGGACAATGTAAATGTTTTAAGATTATATTTATCATTGTTATAGAACAATGCTATAAAAATGATTAGCATGACAAATACTTTAATTTATACTATGATAATCTTGAAACTATGATATATATATACTATCAACTTCTTTCTTCTTGTCCCCATGTACAGAAACTTTATACCTGTATATAACTAAATGTAATTCATACAGTGGGTGTTGGGAATTAGTACACACTTAATGCTACTATTAGATAAAAGTTTCATGTTGTGCAAGTTCTGGTAACTAGACAATTAGACACCTAAAAATGAGGAAGTGGGACATTTAGACACCTAATAATTGTCTATTTTTTACATGAATAAACAAACATAATTAACTTATGTGACCAAAAATATCATTAACAGGGAAGGTATCCAACTGATGAAACAATGTGTTCTAATCTTTATAAGTAAGAATATAAAAAATATATTTAATTAGCTTTACTTATTACCAGGTTTGTTTTTAATTTTCCTGTAAGTAGGTAGCTTTCTCTAATCAGAAGTTAATTATTATATTTCGTTCTTTAGCAGAGGGTAAGTTTTCTAATAAGCTATAAAATTGAAATTAACTTTTAACACTACTTAAAAAGGTAAATTAATTGCAGGTCTTTGATCTGGTCAACTAATTACTCTCTAACTACTAGTCTGTTTTTCATGTGGCTTTATCAGTTTCATTCTTT